TTCAGAGCATGACAACTCTGAAGGCCCAGAGGGAATAAAGGAAGAAGGGAAAAACCCTGAGTGGGAAGGGAGGGAAGCACCAAGGAGGGGCAGCTGGTAGGAGGAAGGGACTGGTGTAAAGGCCAATTACTTGCTAAAACAGCACTTATCGAGAGCATGTCCTATATGCCAGACATACTGACTCATTTAACCCTTGTAATGCTTTTGTTGTCACCATTTCCAGATGGGAAGGTTTAGAACCAGAGAAGTTAAGCAACTTGCCTAGAATCACACAGCTAGTAAGTGGCACAGCCAACTTCTCAACTTGGAGAATCTGGCTGTACAGCCCTCCTGCACTTACAAGAGTGTACCCCACAGAATACACTGACTTCTCTGGGTGCCTGAGACGTGTGCAGTGAAAAAATAAAAGCATGTGGTCAAAGGCAAATGTGGAAAATGGCAAGTTAAATGGGCTTTTTTACTAAAAGACTTGTTAGAGCTTTTGAATTGCTAATGACGCACTGTGGATCTCCAAGGGAGGAACAGAGCAGAGTATGTCCCACACTTACTTGACAGATTGGGGAGGGGGGGGAAGTGTTTGCGTGGGGAGGTTAAGAAAAAGCCTCTTTCAAGGAGCAAAAGCCTTGTGTCTGCACAACACCCACTGCCACTGCACCGGCAGCCGCCCCCTCAGACAGTGCAGCCGGCCCCACTCGTGCTGCAGGCTTCTGTCGCTGTGGATCTCACAAAGCAAAGTCCTCACCTGAGTTAATTGCCTCCTTCATTTCCCAACTCCTGTCTGTCCCTTCTGTGAGATTCTGCATGAAATCATTACAATCAAAACGGCTATCCGACTCTACCCAAATCTCAGAGAGAATTCTTCGAGAAGCCTGAGCCGATGGCTATTGCCGGCCACTGACAGGAGCAGTGATGATCTGCGTAAAGATAATAACTTAAAGACACTCTCAGCCTCTGGACGGAGCCTGGCAGCGGAGGTACTTTTCTGCTGACTGCCTTGGAGTCAATGACAGGACAAGAGCTCATTCTATGAAGCCCTGCTGTTCAGAGTTCAGTAAACACCCTGAAGCAGAGAAGGCAAGTTCAGGTAACTATTTCTTTTCTATTAAACGTACCGGGGTGACACTGATTTACAAAATTATAGGGGTTTCAAGTGTACAATTACATGACACATCATATTCATATTCCACCAGCCAGTCAAATCCTCTTGAATACCATTACAATGAGTGCCCTGACTATTCATACCAAGATCTCAGGCAATCAGGAGCTTCACGGGCATTTCACAGGACAATCTGAGCACTGAGTGGTAAGTCGGACCACCTTGGAATAAACCATATTTCGAGGTAATGAATGATGCAGTGGAGAAGTTTCCTCAGAGTCCTGTAGGAGGGACATCACTTAGCAGGCATGTCTTGAGTCCCTATTCACAGCGGTTGAGTCGTCAGACCAAGTCCTCCAAAATATTGCCCTCATCATGTCACTCCTCTGCTCACAAACATGCTGTGGCTCCCCAGTGCCAGTAAAACAAAGTGCAGACTTCATGACTGGTATGCTCATCACAACCTGCCTCAACCCCCCCTTTCTGACTAGGCTCCACCAGAATTCCCCATGCAGTCTCCCTTCCCCTTTCCTTCCCTTTCATTTCAAGCCTACTCCTCAGTCACTCCGTCGTAAGACCCCTTCCACTACCATCCCTGCCCACATTTATCCTCTAAAACGCTTTCCAACAAGCTCCACTTCTACGAACTGGAAGTTCTCCCCAACCCCGAAGCCACCTTAACCATGTTTGGTTCTTTTTTAGCTTAGGAGGGGCACGGAGTTCAGCCGTCCTCCTGTTTTCTGGAAGATGAAATGCTCCGCATCTTCCATGCCTGTGGTTTATATTTCAGCAAGGGGTGTCAGCGCTGATCTAGTGACCTCCCATTTTTATTGAGCAGCGTGCAATGTAATTGATGACAACTGCTGGGGCTGATATTTTAAGCGAAGGCTATTCTCAGATCCGCCTCCTCTCCCCATGGCTCTGTGTATAAATAGCCAACACAGCTATACCTGAGGTCCAAAGTGGGGCTTCTTGGCTGAAGTCCTCAATTATTCCCCATAAAGTCATGAGGTTTTCCAGGAGGATTTATAGAAGCAGATCTGGCTCTCAGGCCCACGAAGTTGAAAAAGCTGGAGCAGCGGGCAGGGCTCAGCCGGAAATAGTTTCCATCATTCTTTGGTTTTGTTTATTTATATTATTTTTATTTTTTTTGTTGCTGTTAAACAGATTGAAATACCATGTTCTTTCTGGTGCTCGGTTTCTGTGTTCACCCCCAAGTCAAAGGAAAGGATCATTTCTATCCCCAAGGGGCAAGTGAGACCCATTTTCACATATTACTTTTCCGATGTGTATCAGGAGCAGTAAGAATATGTTCCCTGGGCAGAGTTTTTGTATTTGTCTGCAGCCTTGGGAAGTGTAAATCTGGCAGTGACTTAGGCAATACTCATCCTTCCAGGACAAGAACACATTTCTGGTCCTGGGCTGGAAGGAACCAGCGCCCTGCGTGTGCTGTCCACGGAGGGAGCTACAGAAGCACAGTCCTGGCAGGGATGTTGACAGAGGGGCGTGGTCATCTGCTCGCTCTGCATCTGAGTGTGATACCAAACGAAAGGTACGTCCTTTCAAAGGGGCCTGTTTAGAAATTTTGGCCATTTTTAATGGAAAATTTCTAAACTAAATTACAAATACTTTCAAGTGCTCTAATGTGATTTACTGTGATGTTTCAGTCATTACTCAAAGTGAAAGGAGTGAGGCCATTGGAGGTTACTAAGATATGGAGAAGCCCAGACAGCTCCTCCAAAGTAAGCCTTCCTTGGTACCCCCTCCCTACACACACACACACACACACACACACACACTCACACAATCCCTCACCTAATGACCCAATGCTCCCCCACACCCACCTACATCCCAGCCATTAACAACAGCCTATCCCCTATCCGGGCATGGTGTTTATGTGCCCAGTAATACTTCAATCAATGTTTAAGAATGAATAAATGTGTATATCTATATAATAAAAGCCTAAATGACCGTTACAATGGAATGACCAGAATAACCAGTCGCTATGATGCACACTGACCACCAGGGGGCATATGCTAAATGCAGGAGCAGCCCCCTGGTGGTCAGTGCACTCCACAGGGGGAGTGCCAGTAAGCCAGAAGTTGGGCTCACTACTGACAAGTGCAGAGGTGGTGGCAGGAGTCTTTCCCACCACCATGGCAGTGCTAAGAAGCAGCAAGCCGAGTGGTAAGGACCAGTGAGGGGTTAGGTGGTAAGGAGCAAGGGTTCTGGACTGCAAGAGAGTGCAAGCCAGGCTGAAGGACCCCTCTCCCCAGTGCATGAATGTCGTGCCCCAGGCCTCTAATATCTTAATAATAAAAGGCTAATATGCAAATGTCATCACACCACGATGCCATGACCCTGGCACAGGGGGACCTGAGACCACGTCCCCCAACCCAGATGCCAGGACATGAGGCTGTGTCCCCCACCAGGTAGGGCTTGACAGGGTGGTGCCGGCTAGGTCATGGTGTTGCCCAGTTGGGGGGGGGGGGGTCCGGCCAGACACTTCTATTATAAAGAAAGGGCAAATATTTCCTCTAGCCAAAACCGATTTGGCTCAGTGGACAGAGCGTCGGTCTGCGGACTGAAAGGTCCCAGGTTCGATTCTGGTCAAGGGCACGTACCTTTGTTGCAGGCACATCCCTAGTGGGGGATGTGCAAGAGGCAGCTGGTCGATGTTTCTCTCTCATTGACATTTCTAACTCTATATCCCTCTCAATTCCTGTGTAAAATCAATAAAATATATTTTTTAAAAATTATTTCCTCTAATTCTCCTTTAATGTGCACAAATTTCACACACCGGGCCACGTGTATGTGTGTGTGTCCACTAGTGTGTGTATGTGTATATATATATATATATATATATATATATATATATGTATATGTGTGTGTGTGTGTGTGTGTGTGTGTATATATATATATATATATATATATATATATATATACAAACATATATATATGAATATATGAATAAATAAAATGTGGCCCTACCTTTGTGAACTCACAAGCTAAAATACATATACAGATATTTTAATAACAATTTTGCTTATAAGAAAATCAGAGCCGAGAAAGAGAGAGAGAGAGAGAGGAAGAAGATCAAAATGACAAAAGTGAAGGCAGCACCTTCTACCCTGTTACATGCCAATGCCTTCCTTTAATTGTGTCACGTTGACAATCATGATGACATCAAATACTCAAACTACAACACTGAAACTCATCTTCCAAGTTTCAGCTTCAACAGTATGTATGTACTTAAAGAATAACCTACCACCATTTTCAGCAAGCAGGGCCTGTGCCAGCAGCAGCCACGCGTGGAGAACAGGAACAGGTAGGTGATTCACGGTGGTCCTCATCATGTCTTAACCCCCAGGAGGACTCGGGTGGTTACAATGCCGTCAGGAGATTGCCTCTCTGGTGTGAGTGGGAGAGCCATCTGAGGACCAGGCTTAACCTCAAATGGTCGGTGAGCCAACTCAGACACAGGCTTCTATTTAGAAACTATGATGAAGCTTTTTAACAAATAAAAATACTAGTGCCATTGAAAGCCTCTCAGGATTAATCTGTTTCTAAAAAGGTTTCATTTTTACGACTCCTGTGAATTAGCAGCGTCTCAGGCACAGTCTCTCCCATGAACGAAATCCCTGGGTTCAGACCAACAATGTACCATTAGTCTGATACCCATTTTACCATTTTAAACAAAAGCAACCAATGATTATTTGGGTCAATTCCATTACAATCTTTTTTTTAGTAGGCAATTTCAAACAAACAACAAATTTGATAGAAACAGTTTCTATCACCCCAATCAATTCAGTTCCCAAAGTCAGCGAAGTGACACAGCTGGGCATGCAAGGAAAACGAGACAGCGTTCCATGGAATAGACAGCAAGAAACAGTGCATCCTTTACCTTGGTCGAAGGGCTTGCTGGGATTCCAGTTCCTGAAATAATCATCCTATATAAGGGAAAAAATAGAAAGCAAAGGTCAGATTTCAGAAAGATACTCACAAAACTATGTCAAAAGCTGCCTTTCTCCGCCCCTCCCCTCCCAAAACAAAGGAAAACAACAGGCTGAGAAACCTTTCCCAAACAGACATTAACGGGCAATCAGTGCTATCAAGTTACTTTTCCAATTCTTGTCTTTTCAACCATATGCATGCAATTCTTGGAAGAGCAAAAGCACCTCAGCCTCGTATGGAAACAGCCATGCTCTCCTCAGTGTGACAGATAAACCCAGAAACCTCCCAAAAGCGCAAGGTGCGTTTGTTATCGGTTACCCCGCAGGTGCGGCCCCGCTGCGCTCCTGAGGGACCCAGCCTCTTTGTTTGTAAGAGCCGATAATTCAACTGTCAACATTTCTTTTACGGGGAGACGTGTAACATGTGTGCAGTCCCAGTTTTGCAGCACTCACAAGACCTAAAAACAGAGCCCTTCAAATGCCAGGATGAACCACAGGCCTACATGTAGCTTAACACCATTCGTTCTCAGTGTGTTAAGATAATAAAAACAAAGGCCGGCCAATCTGGCTGATTCATAACCATGTCTTCCTTGCATGCCGCTGGTATCAGTCTGTGCTCCGAGGCTAGACACTCCGTTACTTTAACATTGCAAGGGTCTGGGTCACTCCCTTCTTCATATTTACACATAACCTATTCCCCACATCTACTAACCCTTTCCTTCCAAACCACCACTGTCTACCCTCTCTCTCCAATTCCCAGTGCCCCCACCCAGGTGTTAGCAAAGCGAAGAAGGTCGGAAGATGCAGAGGTTTCCCCCTTGTGTATCACCCTCACACAATTTTTAGGGCACGCGCCCCCCCTTTCAGTGAATTTCCTCCTGACTGTACCCAAAGTATCGGCCGTGTGTGTTTTTGGAAGGCACGCTGAATGCTGCAGACATTTTGCAGCAAGTGGTGCAGAACGAGACCTCCATTTCTCTTCCAGAGAAGTTAATTCACATCAAAGTGCACAATTAGTTTAAATTATTGTCCGTGCCCGCCTCCTGCTGCAGTTTATCTCTGACACCATCTCCTGCGAATTGTCCCGGCCTCTGTGCTGTGCAATTACCTGGCCTTATTAGATCCTAGTTGAGTTCACCTAAGCCCTTAAATAGATTTTAGGAAACTGGATTTAGAGTAAAACCAGAACATACCGCTTCATGGGCAGTGATTCCATTTTCCAGGGCATGAATAAACATGAGCAGGGTCCTCTGGATCCTGGCGACTCACCATTAAATTATTTTTAACTCCCAGGAACCGGTCCCTTTTCCTCTGATGGTACTTTGTGGCATCACTGGCCACCTCACCCATCTGGTTACGGAGTCTCTCCGGCTGCCCCCGGAACGTCACCGAGAAAGCTACAAGCAGCCCCCCGCCATCTCTCTCCACCAGTGATGCTGAATCTTTGGAACCGTGTGGTTTGGAACGCAGCGGCCGGTGTTAACTGATTGTAAGGTGAGGGCTGGCTGGTAAGTGGAAAATGTAGCGCCTCATTTCTCCGTGTGACGGCCAGGGTGCTCTGAGCCCCAGCACACACATGGTGCCAACACGTCCTGCTGCTCATGGGGCAGAGGAGAGACAGCCAAGAGGAACTCAGCTTCACACGGAAGACAAAAATAACAAAACGTCCATCTCTCCGACTGTGCTCCATCAATGCCCCTTCACACCCAGAGGCCGGTGTCCAATGGCCATGCGGAATCTCTGAATGCTTCCTCCTTGAATACGCTGTCCTAATACACGGAAGACCTTGGAAACTCAGGCCGTGTGTCTGACATGTCACATTCTCTCTGATGTCCAAGGAAGGTCTGAGAAAGTCTCAAAAACTGAATATTCCCTACTGATTTCAGCGCACTTTGTAACTGGTGGACTGCGGAGCACGCCTCAGGACCTTGTCACTTTTCCAGGTTAACCGTAATTGCCATTTTCACACATTTCTTGGGGAAAGTCATAGTTTTAAACATAAAGGCTGTAAAAGCAGGTGTCTGCATTAGAGCATTTGAAACCCATTGAAATGTAATAACCCTGCCTAATTGCTGCCAAAATGTGAAAGTGCACCTTGAGTGAAAGCTCATTATGCAAAGTGAGTCCTTCAAACAGCCCCTGCTCCGCAAGGCCAAGGCCACGCAGGGAGGGAACGTGATGCCCTGCCTCTGATTGCTTTTGCGCTGCCTTCGGAAGGCGGGTTGCCAAAGGAAAACCAATGAGCCCGGGGCTGATGGAACCCTGGGGGTAACTGCCTCGGCTGCAGCGGAGAGAGAGACTCCATGCGGGGGTCACGGGAATGGACACGTGGGAAGCACTCTGGGTACTGAGCCCACTTGGCGTGTGGTCAGTGAGCGTGGAGGAGGGGCTTCTTGGTGGGCGTTCTGCAGCAGGTCGGAGAATGAGAAGACTGGACGCACGGAGCACCCTTCCAGGCTGCACTAGCCGGTCTGGACGGCCTGCACACAGGGCAAGTCCAAGCAGGCCAGGGCGATATCCAACCATTCACTCTACATGGGGGTATTTCTGGGGAGGCAGCTTCCAAGCCCATGTGGAAAAGGCCAAGGATAAAAGAATTCCTCTTCCAGGGCTTCGCCTCCTGAGAATGTATTCATCCCTGAGTCCAACGTAGCAATCAGGTGCTCAAAGGACTCCAGGACAGCTGCCTGAGTCTGCCCTGCCAGGGCTGGCAGGTTCCCCAAGGCCTAACACCCAGAGGCATCACTCAGTCTTTTTCTCAATTTCTATCTAAATAAAAATATATAGTGCATATTATGCATTTTCCTAAAACAGAGCCATGACTACCCACCCTGTTGAAAGTTCTACCAGTTTTTTGACAATTCCCACCCAGGGAAGGAGCGTGCCTGCCTGTGCACAGTCTCAATGCTGTACTGTATCACCACGTGTTCCTGCATATGAACCCCAAAGTCCACTCGGATCCTAAGAAAGTGCAGGGCTGAAGGGGCCCTGGCATCGGATTCCCCCTTCCAGCCCAATAATGCTGTGGCCTGTAAAAATGCAGAGGAGCTAAAAAGCGTGTCAGATGTGTTAGATCAAACTCGCCGGGAAATGTGTTCCTGTCTGAGTTGACCTCTTAACTGGTAATTTTATCATCTGGGGATAAAGCTTTTAAAATGACTTGCAAGGACCTCAGCAACAGTTCATTTTTAAAACATGAGCCTAAATTGAAAGATGCAAATCTACATACAGTAATTTCTTCAATTCAATTACTCCTATTAGCAAGGGCCGGCAGGACTGAGGGCTGGCAGTGCAGCTGCCCCTGGGCATCCGGGGGGCCTCCCCATACAGTCCCCAGGTCAGGCCTCTCCTGAAAGGGCAGAGAGCCTCCCACCAAGTCCGCCCCATATGAGGAAAGGCTGATCCCACGTCATGGTGCCACTGCTTCGATGGAAATTACCACCTGTTAAAACCTGGGAGAACCTATACATGTAAGCCGTCTCAAACTTGAGCATAGTGGCTTATGTCTGACATTATGATCTCAGGCAACATAAAGTCGCAGTAAGAAGGCATAAAAGGTCAGCATGAAAGCCCTGGCCAGGTAGCTCAGTTAGTTGGAACATCGTCCAGGCACTCCAAGGTTTTGGGTTCAATCCCTTGTCAGAGCACATACAAAAATCAGCCAATGAATACATAAATGAGTGGAGCAATAAATCTCTCTCTCTCTCTCTCTCTCTCTCTCTCTCTCTCTCTCACTAATCAATATATGTTTTAAAATTAAGTCACAGTAAGAAAGTGACAAATCATTCCGTGTCTAGATGAGACAAAAGGAGGTGGTTCTGGTGGTGGAAAAATGGCAGACTGGGAATGATCCAGGCCCCAATTTTTCTGTTAATCTTTCACAGCAGATCAATATAGATAAAGCCTTATTTCTCCATTTATTTTGCTAAATAAATATATTTCTGACATCATACTGAACCCTGTGAAATTATTGGCATCCAGTAACTCTGGGTTTTCAACTACTTTAAAGATAATTCATTTTGATAAACATTCATGGGAAAGAAATCTGTTTAAAATATATACATATGTAACACATTACATATTACTATATTATATTAATAAGAATGTTTATCAACACATAGTTTAATAGATATATGTACCTAACTATTCATGTATGCTGAAGAACATTCTATTCTATAAAGCCTTTTGCAATAAAACCTTTAAGACTCCCTAATACCAAATGAGGCAAAAACATTCTTGCTATAATTAGGGTGATTAGTCCCTTTATCATAGACTAGGAGCCCATTGCAGGAAGATTCCTGTAAGCAGCTGCTGCGGCCAACCATCCCGCCCCACCCAGCCTTGCCCGCCCACACTTTCCCTCTGGCAGCTGCCTTGCTTTCCACTTTCCCTCCCTCTTCCTTCTATGCTGCCTTCCTCAGCAGATGCAAATTAACTGCCATCTTTGTTGGGTTAAATTGCATACTCCCTCTGATTGGCTGTGGGTGTAGCAAAGGTATGGTCAATTAGCATTTTTCTCTTTTATTAGTGTATATGCTCATGCCCAATGGGAAGTCTATGGTTCCAGTCCATTTTGAAAGGGAGCCTGGATTTCTCTCCCAAATGGCTGATGCCATTCAGTTCGAACATTCCCCAGGGCCTTGCCTTTCGAGGGGTGCTTATCACAGCTTAGAGATTGTCAAAGCTGCCTCTGGGGAACAGGTGGGGTGGCAGAACCCAGAGGAAGCCATTTTTAAATCCAGCTGCTTTATTCTTGCTTCTTCTGAAGGTGATGTAATATATTATATCATCTATCTTACACCTTCAGATACCACCAGTCAAAGATGCTTAGCTCACAGGAAACATTATTTCTCCTTCATAAATATTTTAGCTAAGTTTTTGGAACCTTGCAGTTTCATCTGAATATTACCTGAGATAATACAAAATAGCAGCCTAGAAAATAAATGGGAACCTCATTTGTCTTGACCAGGAGTGAGTGACAAGCACACGGCAAGTCCTGGCCAAACTGTATAAAATATAAGTAAGCTATGCCGGCTTTAGCATCTCTGTATCCCTGGGAAGTCCCATAGCTGTTATTGGGTTTGTGTCCACACAGGTGGGCATATGCTGTACACACACCCTAAATCACTCTCCTCTTGAGGAGAGTGATTCTGTGATGAATTGCTCTGACATTTGGTATGAAGTCCTGCAGGCCTCAGACAAACTGATTCTGAAAATAACAATGTCAGTTGCTCTGCTCTCTCAATAAATAACCCACCAGTAAAACACGGATAATAACTGACAATCATACTTGTACTGTAACTAATGAGAAAAGATAAAGCAGCAAATGGACTGTTTATGTGCATTTGATGAATTGCAGCCCCTGGATACACCAATGAAAAATAAATACATGCGTGCTGGCTCACTGAACTAAAACAAATATTTACCACTGAGATTTAGGGTTTAGAATAAAATTTACATTTGATTCAGCAACCATTTGGATACTATGTCTACATACATTTGAAAAGTCAAACACATACCTCAACTTCCTGAGTACGAAAGCATTATAAATGAGAGAAAAAAAGAGAATCACATCAAACAATAGGAAGGAATGTGAACATTTTTATAGTTGCATTAAAATGTCATGTTATCATAACATTAGATTGGACATAGGCAGATATTTTCCTTAAGTCACTGATGATCATTCCCTTGAAAAAGGCCCCATCACTCACTATGTCCCTGGGAAAGAACGATAGGTTATAGAGTGGAAAAGGTTATAGGTTGGAAGACTGGAAGTGGGGAGAAATCTGAGTGTGCTCTGGTGACTAAGTCATCACTGTAAAACAGCTACCAGAATTATGGTTAATCCGTGATTAGTGACTATGAGAGTTCCAAATGAACAATTTCCTGTGACACAGAGTGATATTCAATAAAAAAAAAACACCAAATGACGTCAGAGGTCAACAGTAATAGACCTTCTACATTTTGTGCAAATAAATTATTTTGCCTTGAAGCTCCAAAACAGTTCATAGAGGTCTAAAACCTGATAAAGACACAGACTTATGGTCTCAAAAATATATAGTGTCCCCAAAAATGTATACACACACTTTGAATAATTATAAAGTGTTTATTGAAATACATTTCATTTTCAAAACTGAGCTATCAGTTGGTAAAGTGTACACACATTTTGGGGGATACCCTTTACATAAATGAATGAGACTGTCATGGCACCTCCAGCCAACTTAAAGATTATAATCATCACAAAGAGTTCCCTTCCTGGGGACTGTCTGTCTGTCCCTGTCTGTCCATCTATGATGGGGGTGGGGGAGTGGCCCACTGACTTGTTCTTTTCTCCAAGAGAAAAACCGAGTCTGAATTTTCTTCCCCAAAGTATGCTTTGCCTGTGGCTTTTTCTCCCGGGAACATGAATGGGTATAAGATGCTCTAGTTGTCCACTGACTGAGACCAGGGGTGTCTCCCCAGACTAAAAGCCCATACCCCTGACCTCATTAGCAGGAAGCGTGAATGCAGGACTGGGAGAGCAGTGGTTCTCATCCTCGGCTGTCATGGGGGTCAACACCAAGGCCCCACCCAGGAGAGGCTGACTCAGTGGTCTGGCTGCAGTCTCCATAATGGGGTTTTTTAAAGCTCCCAAATGATTCTACTGCGTAGCCTCACTGGCTAAAGGAAACCACACACTAACTCAGTCACAGTGACTCACAGGTGATGGTGTGGGGGGTGAGGATTCAGAACCACCACAAAAAGCAAACTAGGTGCAGCCCATCAGAGGCCTTCCCCCAGCTCCTGGAACTTCCAGACTTGGGAAGTGGAAGAAATGTATTTTAATAAACACTTTATAATTCCATCTTCCACTCCCAAGCCTGCCAGCCCCAGCCCCCACATCCCACCCAGGCTTCCCCAGCTCAGTCCACCCAGTTTCCCAGCAAGAACCCACATCTTGGGCTGATCCGCCCTCTTCCTTCCTTCTGCCACCCAGACAATGACCACGTCCTCTCCCTCCTGGACCTCACGGCTCCCCTGGTTTGTATGCACAGCCTCTCCCTCAAGTCAGGCCTCCACAGCCTCCCCTTGGGCCACTGCCATGTGCCCAAACCAGCCTCTGCCTCCCTCCAGGCCTGCCTGGCTGTTCACACTGCTCCCACGGTGACAGTCTGCCCACACCACATCACACCCTCGCCCCTCCACCCCCACGAAAACACTCGAGTTGTCGACTTGTCTCCCTAGCTCCCAGACTAAGGCCAAGCCCAGTAGCAGCTCCCAGGACCCTGAGAGGTACAGTCTCTACTGAGCCCCCCTTTCTCCCTGTACCCACAGGCCAGCTCACAGGCTCTCTCAGGCCTCTGAGACTCTGCACCTGCTGCTCCTCCTCTGCTTGGATCTCCCTCCCTCGGGCTCCTTTAGTCACTAAACATTCACTGCTCTACCAAATCCTGATTCAGATAGTGCTTCTCAGGGGCAGACTCCCTGTCCCCACTCCCTGCTGCCCGGGGCGGCTCTGCTGTGCTCTCCACAGCCCCTGTGCTTTCCCCCACAGAACACTGGCCCACCCACTCGTCAGCCACAGTGCTCCTGCAAACTCACCACACAGAAGGCCAGGGGCTGGGCATCTTCACCACCAACCCCCCGGGGCCTAGCACAGTGCCCACTGTCAACTGGTACTCAGTGAGCAAAGAAAGCAGTTCAAGCTCTGCCGCGTTTTTATGCCAGTGTCGTGGGCTGCAACTCCCCAAGTACTTCCCCTCTGAGTGGAAACCTTAGTCCTCCATGACCAGGAGGTTTCTGAGGAAAGGGATGGATGACCCCCTTAGAGTGACCTCAAGTCCAGCAGGAACCAGAACCTGGGGCCAGCCGGGATGAAGCTGGAAGGTCTTGGAAAGAACTGACCAAGGTATGCAGGAGGAGGACTGGCAGACCTCCGCCCAACATCCTCACCCCACATCCACTAGGGCCCTCAGCCCCCAAGGAACAAGCAGGCTCTATGACCTGGCTCTTCATAGCTGAGCTGGAATCTGATGCAAGATACAGGATTTGCATCAAGTTCCGGTTCAAATAAAAAAGTGGAAATCAAATAAAATAATCAAAGTAGTAGTAACATTAATATTAATCATATGGTAAATCATAATAATAATAGCAATAAGTCATATGGTAATAGCAGCTATCGTTTTTGAATTCTCAAAGTGTGCCAGGTACTGTGCTAAGCCCTGACTATGTTTTACTTCCTTGAACCCTTACAATGACCTTCGGAGTGAGAGGAAAGGCAGCTCGTTGAGGTAGCTGGGAAAGTGAAGCTGAGAGAAGAAATCACTAGTGAGAAGCAGGACAGGGATTTGAACGTTCAGTTTTGCCCAACTCCAAAGATCAGGCTCCAAACACCACGCACTGCCTCTGTGACACTCAATGAAGAGAGGAGCAGGGAGACTATTCCCCGGAGAGAGGACATGGGTCGGCTGCCCTGTGATGACGCTGAAAGAGAAGCCATGAGCACACAGACCAGAGACCTCCCAAGAGGTCCTCCCTACCACTGCCACAACTTTGTATCTTGCCTCAGCTTTCCTGTCTGTGAAATGGGGGACAGCAACACCTGCCTCACAAAGTCTGTGTGAGACTAAACCGCTAAACCACCTGTCACGTGCCTGGGTCTTGGAAAGCAGGCAAGACACCTGAGTCTAATCCACCCAGACCCAGGTGACTTCTGGGGCTTCAGAACGTGGCCCTCAGCCCTGTGGCAGTGGCCCCAGGAGCCCTCTGCCTTCATGTGCTCCTGGCTGAGCACTCACCCGTCTGCCACCAGCACTCCCTAAAGCCCCATTCAAAGCAGAACATCCAATGCTGACATCAAGGCACAGCATGAGGGAAGTGGTGGCTTTGGCACCAGCTGCCGCTCTGAAAACTACAGCCACAGACTCTGCATGAAATTTTCATTAGCTGCACAGCTAGACCTGCTTCAGGTCCTCCCAGCTCTGTCATTCAGCCTCTGCTTCAAGGGAACATCTGGGAAGGGTAGCAATGAAGACTCGCTTCACTATGTCCCTGAAAGTATCCTCCCAGCCACCCTACCCACCCTCCTCTGCACGCTGTGACCCTGCCCGTGAATGACTCACACAGCAGATGGGAATAAATCTGCTCAAGGTCTTTTGTCCACTTCAAGCCAATGGTGTCAGGATCAGAAAGTGCTCATTTGACGTTTTCCCATACTGAGAGGTAGCCAGTGCAGGGAACACTCCCTAGCCACAAGCCACCTCTGCAATCACCAGCGAGGCTTCCATGGAGAACAGTGGGAACCCCTCCCGGAGGAGGCATAGCCATGGCGAAAACCAGAGCTCATCACAGGAGCCAAACACTCCCTAGAGGCTGACTGAACACTCTCCACAGGTCCCACTCCCACAGGCTTCTGAGCCATGGCAACAAGCTGCCTTTCCTCTCACTCCACTCGCATTTGTGCAATTCAGTGATTGACATAACAGTCTCTCACTCTCAGCACTGCCAGAGAGATGCCTGGTAGACTCAGGAGACTTGGAGAGATGACCACAAGGCTCCACACTTGGGAAGCTGCTTACCTGGCCCTGCTGGAGGCTAAGTCCAGCGGGTCATAATAAATGTGAGAAGTCCTCAAAAGGTTGAAAGGACTCTTTCAGCAGGGCTGAAAGTCTGCATATTATTACCTGCTGCTGGCAATTCCCTCCACCTGATGGTCCTTTACTGTTTACCAAACCTTACCTTTGATATGTATATCTGCTTTGCTAAAGGGAAAAAATGTGTGAATAAAAAGCCCTGGGTCTGGAGATTCACAGAGCCCACTTCACTAGAAAGTGGAGCCTCCCCTGGCTCTCCCATGCCTCCCAAATTTGTATTTCACGTCTAGTCTCTCAATTCATTTACGTATCATCCCTTCTCCAGATTCCTGAACCTTTGCAGTTTCGGATAAGACCCCAGCATGGCCCCTTGGTGCAGTAGATGATGTACTTATGTCATGTGACTAGACAGAAAGCCTAGAGGAATGAAGGAAGTGTCTTCATGCAAAGAGCAATGTGTGTGAATCCCCTACTGATAGTTCTTCCCCGACTACCAGGAGACTCCATGAACATTTGGGTGTCCTCTCCCCTTCAGGGGAATTTCTACAATCTGGACGTAGTCATTTATGGCCAGGGCACCAGAGAGAGTGAAAGGCTGAAGCTGCCAAGAGGCCTGAGGATCTTAATGACCCATGAGCCAGGCTGACTTATCTATAAGCACTGAGGAGTCACTGGAGGGCTTACGTGGAGGTTGACACTATCAATTGGTATTTTCTAAAGTATGGCACAGATTAGAGGAAGCCACATGTAACCACGGACACAGTGAAGAAGTTCAGTCTACAGGTGCACAATGATCACTGATGGATACATTTGTTATATACATGCCCTGTGATAGACAAAGATACAAGTAGCACCCAGCCCTTACACTCTGGGAGCCACAGACTGACTAGGGGAAAGAGATGCCAGAATACAAGCTGATGAAGCATCATATTACTTGGTAATGTGGTCATTATAAA